ATGGTTTTTAGAGTGTGTAAAATTGAGATGATTACGGTAACTCTCTTGGGTAATGAGTGGATATCCCAACTTACATTCTCTCCTTTTTCTCACAACCAATTCCTTTTAAGAATTGATGAGGAGCTGTTGGGAGATGGACACAGCTACAGTCCTAAAGCTATTCATTCATGGCTGACCAGGGCCATGTACAGCCGCCGCTCAAAGATGAACCCTTTGTGGAACACCATGGTCATTGGAGGCTATGCTGATGGAGAGAGGTTGAGTACAAATAACTTAGTTCCTTGTGTAATAAGTGCCTGTGGAGTGTCTCTTCTCTCTCCCCCCAGTGAATCCCATTAACTCAGACCCATGGTCCCATTCTTCAGCTAAGAAACCAAAGGTGAAATGAGTTCTTTGATCCATTGTATCCTGTTAGCTTCCTCGGTTATGTGGACATGCTTGGTGTAGCCTATGAAGCCCCTTCACTGGCCACTGGTTATGGTGCATACTTGGCTCAGGTAAGTAGTTGAGTCTAGAGGCAGGTGAGAGGGGAGACAAGGAACGGGTTTAGTGGTTGCTTGTTCTCCCCTTGGAATTCTGACGTGAGGAACAAACTGGCATGCCTATTGCTGAGAAAGTGGTTTTCTTTGGAGTCTGGAGGCTGTTAGTGTTGACAGTTGGATTTGGGTGACAAGGGGGCATGTGCAAAGAGTGAACACTAGAACTGCCCCTTCCGGTATATGGCACCACAGTGAGTAGAGTTCATCCTGGTGAGGCAGCAGGTCGAATGCCAGCTGTCACTCATCTGTGCTTCATTACATCATAGATTAGAGACAAGTAGCCTGTTATTTAGCCCCTGATACCTCCCATGTTTTTTCTCTCACTCTTTCTAGCCTCTGCTTCGAGAAGTTCTGGAGAAGCAGCCAGTACTGAGCCAGACTGAGGCTCAAGAGCTAGTAGAGCGCTGCATGCGTGTGCTGTACTATCGAGACGCCCGTTCTTACAACCGGGTAAGGAGTGTGAAGAATAAAAATGCCAGGAACCTTATTTGCAGGCTCTGGAGACTTGAGTCCAAAGAGACCCATTAGGTCCATTTACTTTGAGGAACAGATTGCTGCTTCTCTGTTTCCTATTTTCTGATTGGGAAAAACCTCATGGACATAATCATTGGAAGCTCTGCTTTCTTTCAGTTTCAAATTGCTACTGTAACTGAAAAAGGTGTTGAAATAGAGGGACCACTGTCTGCAGAGACCAACTGGGATATTGCCCACATGATCAGGTGATTGAAATTAAAGTTATAGTAAGGAAATAGGTGGTAGAAGAGTTGGGGGGTTCTTTGGCTTGCACTAAGCTGAGCTTTTCTGGTAGGCTCAACCAGAAAAATTCTCTGGGTAGAGGTGGTTTTGGTTGGAGAGTAGACCCGTTTTTAGGAATTGATTCCTTTATGCTTCTCAATTTTATTATTTCTTCCTTTTTAGTGGCTTTGAATGAAATGCAGATGCAGTCTCCAGAACTGAAGTTAAAACTCCTTAACCTTTGAACCAGCCAAGTTCAAAGTTAAATCTTTTGTATATTAAATAAATCCTTCAGAATGCTTGCTGACTGGTTTTATTCTGACTAGGACACACCAAGAGCAAAACTGCCAGGTGCCCTCTATTTTCCTGGTCGGAGACCTTTTAGGCTTTCTCATAAGCAAACAGAAAGAATTCTCTGCATGACAATACAAAAGACCTACTAGTGTCTTCATTTGGGGCTCCCCTAAAGGCAGCTTTAGGTAGAAGTGAGACTTAAATCTTTATGTAGTAACTTAACTGGCTTTTGTTTTTTTTTTGAGACAGATCCTCAAGCTATGGCCTTGGGTAGAGTGCTATAGCATCATAGCTCACAGCAACCTCCAACTCCCGGGCTCAAGCAGTTCTCCTGCCTCAGCCTCCCAAGTAGCTGGGACTACAGGTGCCCGCCTACTTTTTTGTTGTTGTTGCTGCAGCCGTAATTGTTGTTCGGCGGCCCCGGCTGGATTCAAACCCGCCAGGTCAGGTGTATGTGCCTGGCCCTTTAGCCGCTTGAGCCATAGGCACCAAGCCCTTACCTGGCTTTTGTGTTTAAATTTTTTTTCAGGACGGTGCCTGTGGCTCAAAGGAGTAGAGCACTGGCCCCATATAGCAGAAGTGGTGTGTTCAAACTCAGCCCCTGCCAAAAAATATATATTTTTTTGCAGTTTTTGGCTGGGGCTTGGTTTGAACCTGCCACCTCCTGCATATGGGGCTGGTGCCTTACTCCTTTGAGCCACAGGCGCTGCCCCCTCCCCCCCCCAGTTCTTTTTTTTTTTTTTTTCAGCATTTCTCACTGCCCTGGGTTCTGAAAGAATACAGATTTGGTTAATGTTGGGTAAATGTGATTTTAATTAGAACATTTTATTTTTTTGAGACAGAATCTCACTTTGTCACCCAGGGTAGAGTGCCATGGTGTCACAGCTCATAGCAACTGCAAACTCTTGGGTCAAGTGATCCTCTTCCCTCAGTCTCCCCAGTAGCTGGGAATACAGGTGACTACCACAACGCCTATTTTTAGAAATGGGGTCTCAGGCTTGCTCAGGCTGGTCTTGAACTCCTGAGCTCAGTTAATCCTCCTACCTCAGCCTCCAGCATCTTTTTTCTTTTTTTTTGAGATGAAGTCTTTGTCGCCCTCGGTAAAGTGCTGTGGTGTCACAACTCACAGGAACCTCAAACTCTTGGACTTAAGCGATTCTCTTGCCTCAGCCTCCCACGTAGCTGGGACAACAGGTGCCCACAATGCCTGGCTACAGAATGTCTTTATTCTTAGGAGATAATACTGAAGTACTTGGGGTAAAGTATCATTATGTCCCCAACTTACAAATAGTCCACAAGAAGTCTATTTCTGGAAAGTAATGTTGGAACCCTAGCCACTGATGATTCTTGGACTAAAATGCCCTTTCATAGATAGAAGTGTAGGCTGGGGCATGGCTCACATCTATAATTCCAGCACTTTTGGACACTTCCTCTTTGGCTATGAAACACCTGAGAAGGGTGGATTGTTTTAGCTCAGAAATTTGAGACCAGAACGAGAACCACCCTGTACTAAAAGTAGAAAAGCTAAGCAGCGCCTGTGGCTCAAAGGAATAGGGCACTGGCCCCATATACTGGAGGTGGCAGGTTCAAACCCAGCCCCAGCCAAAAACTGCAAAAAAAAAAAAAAAAAAAAAAGAAAAGCTACCTGAGCACTGTAGGTATCTCTGGTCCTACTGGGGAGGCTAAGCCTAGGAGTTGTAGGCTTTGGTAAGCTATGATCATGGCACAGTGCTCCAGCCAGACCATGTCTCAAGATAAAAAGCCACAAAGGTAGCATATAGTAGAGCTGCTCAAGGCTCAACCCAGAACTGAGTCTCCACCCACCTATCTACTCTCACCTTTGATGTAAGGAATACTAAGTAACGTAAACATTTTTTTAAGACAAGGTCTTGCCCTTTTGCCTAGGCTTGTGTAGTATGTCCACATAGCTCACTGCCACCTTAAAACTCTTGCTTAGGTTCAAGTGATACTTCTGCCTCAGCTTCTAGATTTTGTAGGGGGTGTGTCTCACTATGTTGGTCAGGCTGGTCTTGAACTCTTGGCCTCCCCAAGTACTAGCAATGTAGGTATAAGAGGCTCAGCGCCTGTGGCTCAAGTGGCTAAGGCACCAGCCACATACATGTAAGGTGGCGGGTTTGAATCCAGCCCGGGCTTGCCAAACGATGGCTGCAACCAAAAAATAGCCGGGTGTTGTGAGCGCCTGTGGTCCCAG